CACGGGTGAGTTACTAGTTTAAATTAAAATGGAATGAGCATATGCATCATGACTAATTAGTAATTATAAAAACGTACATTAGTGTAATTATTAAAATCTTAAAATAAACATTCCGCAAAAGCATCATTGATCTCTCTTTTTCTCTAGCATATATATATGACTAGTTGCATTATATTAGAATACAGAGTTCTGAATTAAATGTCATGCGCACTGCACTACTTTCTGCATATGAAGAAATGAAAATGGATTCTTTTTCATTTTAAATAATGAAAAGTGAATCTGAACTCAGTACTTTGCGAGCGACCTCAAATCATTTATCACGTGTGTTGGCTCCATATGGGACTTTGCAATCAGTGCATAACAATAATAAAAAAAATCTAGGACAAAATGCACTTCACCCCCTAGAATTTATAGCTTTTGCACTTTTCTCCTTACAAATTCAAAAATAAAATTCTCTTCCTTCCAAATTTTGTATAGTTGCACTTTGCCCCAAATGGGACTTTCCGCCATATTTTTCACAGGTTCTTTCATAGCCCGTCAACTTGAAGGGCACTTTTGTCCTTTCACCAATCCTACCCAAATATTATAGTTGCCACTGGTACCGGCACATTTCCAGCCAATTTATGTTGCCTAAACATCTCTCTCAGAAGCAGTGGCTCAACTTTGTTGGCCCCGCCGTCAAAATATGCACGCCAATATGATGCCCGCCACCACCATGTGGGTTTTGAGGCCAGCGGCGCCGACCACCTTCGTTTGAGGCAGCACATTCTAAATGCTCCATGCATGTGACCGCAGCCGATGGCGGCGCGACAACACCCCCTCATCCTCCGATCCATCCGAGGCAACCCAGATGTGCCCGATCGCCAACCCCCACTGCGGCGATGGCGGAGGAAACACGGTGCAGGTGCCGCTGCATTTTATGCCGAGGTTCAATTACTCCGGCAATCTCGAATTCCAAGGCGAAAGATCCAGCCTGGTTGCAGCTTGGATAGATATTGATGCAGCAACAAACGCATAACCCATCTCACTGTTCTCAGCATCTGGGTTTTCAACGATATTAATATTTGGGTGAAATTGGTGAAAGAACAAAAATGGCCTTCAAGTTGATGGAGATATGAAAAAGCGGTGGAAAATACGCCGGAAAGTCCCATTTGGACAACATAACTATAACAAAATTTGGAAGGTAGAGAGTCTCATTTTTAAATTTGTAAGGGCGCAAGTGCAAAAGATAAAAATTTCTAGGAGGTGAAGTACATTTTGTCCAGAAATCTAACCTAATTTTTGAATGTTTAATTTCAAATTTTTTTATAGTTGTTTCGTTTTTGCATGTCCTTTAAATCAATCTAACTCTCTTTAATTTGGGTAAACTGCATAAAATCCCCACGTGTTATGGAAAATATGCAAACCCCCTATGTTATTTTTATTGCGTAGTGTTAGGAGGAGTATATTTGGAGAGAAGAGAGAATGATTATCTCTCACGTTTATTGTAATATATATATATTACACGTGTGAAAACCCTAACCCTTTACACAAGGGAACTAAGAGATATACATACCAATAATACAATATTTATCTATAATATATATATTAATAAAGATACATAAAAAATACGGCTAATATATCCCCGCAGTCGAAACGGGAGATGGACGAATGTGCAGACTGGAGACGAATTCTCGAAAAAGAGGGGCCGAAAGTCCATTGGTGAAGACGTCAGCGAACTGATGTGTGGACGGGACGTGGAGGACACGAACGTGTCCCAAGGCGACTTTGTCCCGGACAAAGTGTATGTCAAGTTCCACGTGTTTGGTGCGCGCATGTTGAACCAGGTTGCTGGACAGATAGACAACACTGATATTGTCGCAATAGACAATGGTTGCTTTCGTCGGTGGACATAGTAGTTCGATCAGGAGGTTACGCACCCATGTCGTCTCAGCAACGGCATTAGCTACAGCCCAGTATTCGGCCTCCGCACTTGAGCAAGAAATTGTCACTTGCCGTTTGGAGGACCAGGAGATAAGGTTGTTACCTAGAAAGACACAATAGCCCGAAGTGGATCGGCGAGTGTCAGGGCATCCACCCCAATCGGCATCAGAGTCATATTTGTCTATTGGACCTAAAGCCCATTAAAGAAAAATCGGTTTTCTCGTTTGTCTACTAGAGGGAAATGAAACTCGATAAAATTAGTCGGAGAACAATTAAATAACATAAGTCCAAACATTTAATTGTAAAATTCATTTAATACGAATCTCTAGTAATCCTCTTCTCTAAACCTCTTAGATAATCATGTCTAAGAATCCCATAATGTCAATCCTCGACAATAAACTCAATGGCCCTAATTACCTAGATTGGTTGCGTAGTCTTGAACTTGTGCTAACCGTTGAGGGGCGTCTCTATGTTCTTAACGAGAGACTTCCTGCCACTATACCTGCCACAGCGACTGATGCTGAAAAGAAAACTTATGAAGCGTGGAAGAAAGATGACACTCATGCTAGGTGTTATATGATAGCCGCCATGGAGCCCGCGCTTGCGAGGATTATGAGTCTCACTTACATGCTTTCGATATCAATGCTCATCTCGATAGCATGTATAGTGAGAATATTAGGGCATCGAGGTACGCTGCTACAAAGGAGTTGATCACAGCGAGACTGCGCGAAGGGACTTCGGTCCACGAGCACTGTCTCAAAATGATCACGCTCCTTACCGCTCACCGATTTCACGTTTGGTCCCCTGTTTGCAAAATACACATTTTGGTCCCTCATATTTCATTAACTTAACAGTTGTGGTCATTTCAATCAATTTATCGTTAGTTTGTCAGTTAAGAAGTGATGGGCACACCCTCGATTTTGTTAGTTTTAACGGAGAATTGACGGAAAGGACTAAAACTGTTGTATTTTTGAAACGTGAGGGACCAAATGTGTTTTCTGTGAACATGAGGGACGAAATGTGAAATTGGTGCGAACGTGAGAGACGAAAGCTATATAGGAAAAAATATAGTTTTTGTCCCTCAAGTTTGCACCGATTTCACATTTGGTCCCCCATGTTTACAAAAAAACACATTTGGTCCCTAATGTTTTATAATTCAACATTTTTAATCAATTTCGTCAATTTCCCGTTAAAACTAATGGAATCAAGTGTGTGCCCGTCCCTGCCTTAACTGAGGTACTAACGGTAAATTCACGGAAATGACCAAAAATGTCAAATTATTTGAACATGAGGGACCAAATGTGAAATCGTTAGAAACTTGAGAGATGAAACTGTAATTTCATATATATATATATATATATATATATATATATATATATATATATATATCGGTGTTTTAAAAATCGGCCGAGGCGGCCAAAAACCTTTACGGTTTTAGTGTAAAGGTTTGAAAAATCGATTTTTTGCATGTGAGACGGTTTTAGGCGGTCCGAGGCGGTTTGAGGCGGTCCGAGGCGGTCAAACCTTTATGGCGGGTCAAACTTCGGTAGCAAAAATCGGCCAAAAATCGGTCAATCCTTTATATAAGATGTTTATATTTGAATATTCGGCTGCATGCAGAAAGGGGTGACAGTGAGCCAAGTGAGATTCGAAAACATAAAAGGAACATCGTGGTCGCAGAAAGCGGTAACATTGCGTTGCAGTTCGATGAATCCTTGTCACGGAATAGAATTGAAGAACATTGATCTCACTTACATAAACCATTTGAAAAAACCTACACTTTCGGATTGTGAAAATGCACGAGGTTTTTTTGCTGGTTTTATCTTCCCAAAAGTTTGTCTGTAGATTTAATTTGCGAGATTATATATGATGATGGCCAATTTAGCATTCTGCATGTAAATCTTTGAGATTGGATTTCATTGGTGGACCATAACCCAACTTTATCATGTTTAATGGGCTCAAAATTAGGTCAAAGACTCAAGAGTAGGTATGAGTTATAAATACTTCATATTCTCCACCATAGAATGTACCCTTTATTTACACACATTACACACTCCTACACAAACAAAAATACACGATCAAATCACAAATCTCACATGGTCTTCTTCTCTATTTCGTTTTCCTATTATTTTACTCTTTCTTGAACTATTTCCCCAATTAACTTGAGCGTCGAAGGGTCTCCTCGGGGCTCAAGCCCCGGGATTTCAGGTGAACGGAGCAATTTTACGACGATCTAGATCGGGGAAGGTGTTCAAGAAGAGCCAATGTTGATAGTGGTTAAATTAAATCGACCTCCATCAAATGGCGCCGTCTGTGGGAAATTCGAATTGAGCATAAGACGTGAGGGTCATCGATAAAGAGGGAAAATTCTTATACACCAATTCTCGTATATTCCTATTCATGAGTTTATGAAATTTAATCACATGTTTATATGGATGTTCATGATATATACTCTTAATATGATTTGATCTGATATGCTTTTATTTCAATGCTTCAACTGCTAGCGTTTAAAAAGTAAAAGAAAAAAAGAAAAAGAACAAAAGAGGGTGGCAATGAGCCTAATATTTTCTATGAGTCGATATATTACTTGAGCTATTACATACAAATTATTCGCACTTCTTACAGAATATGTGCACACTATTTTTTGGCCGCAAACATCCTTCAAAGAAAGGTAGGGATTGATGGGGCAGCAGATTGGTCCGGTGGTTGTATGCCGCCGGAAAAGAGAAACAAGAAGCGGCGATAGAGATGTTTTGTTTTAATTATTGCGAGTTCTATTAAAATTAAGTCTTTTTTATATATATTATAAATTAAACAAGTGGCATGTCACATGTCTGTGTCAAAAAAAAAAAATGTGACTCAATTGTGTACAATAAAATAAATAGTTGTGAATTTGGTGCAAATTTATTTCAGTAATGTGAATTTGGTGCAAATTTATTTCAGTAATTCCCATTATTTGTAATAACCCAAACCAATACAGTATTAGAAATTAAACACACAAATCAACTTACATAGAAAAAAGGAAAAAAAAAAAGAAAAAGAAAAAAGCAAAATAAGTCAAGCAAGGGTAATACAACTTAAGCAACATACTTCTTAGGTGCAAGAAGAAGTGCATTTTTCTTATGCATTGTGAGTCCCGGCATAACATCCGTATCGATATCTTTCGCCTGAATCCCGGGTGGCAATTCCCAGTTGAAAGAGTATAGTAGATTCGCAACCGTAAGCTCCACATTTGCAAGACCCATATACATCCCGGGGCATATTCTCCGACCCGACCCGAATGGAATCACACCATAATCTTGCCCTTTAATGTCAATATTGCTATTCAAGAATCTCTCCGGCAAGAACTCATCTGGATTTTCCCAGTAATCGGGATCTCTTGCAATCGCCCACGCGTTAACATAAACAAGTGTTCTCGGCTCGATTACGTATCCCTCGAGAGTGCATTTCTCAATTGTTTGTCTAGGTACAAGCAGTGGAGCTGGAGGGTACAATCGGAGAGTCTCGCTTATGACCGCCTTTAGATACGGAAGTTTTGGCAGATCGTTTTCGTCCACTTTACCCTTTTTGGCTATCGAATTTCGAATCTCGGCTTGCACTTTCTCCATGACCCGTGGCGCTTTCATCAGGGCGGTCATTGTCCACACGGTTGAGGCCGCGCTTGTATCCGTTGCAGCGATGAATATATTCTACAAATATAGCAATTATACATGAAAATGCAACAGTTCGGTATTAGAACTTTCGAAAATTCCAAAAAAAAAAATAATTCATAAGTGAAAAACTAGTTTCACTTCCATTCCGAAATCTGAAAAACCCGAAATTGTAACGAAAAAAAAAAATCGGATTGAATCTAGCGGAATTTGAAAATTCCATTTTTTTAGTCGCTTGTAATACATAATAATATTGATAGTGTAAGTGTAATTTTCAGAAAATAATTGGAATTTTTGGAAATATTTTCAGAAATTAGAAGTGGACTAGAAATCAGAGTATAGTACATATTCCAATTCCGTTCCAAAAAAAGAAAATTGGAAACAGTAACTTTCAGAATACTAAATGAAAAAATAAATATCATCCCACAAGCGAAAATTTTCAGATCGAAATTGACGAAATTCAGAATTTTCATTCCAGTTTCCACCCGTAATAGAGATTATAAGAAAGCGTAACATATATACGGATCGACGAATTAAAACTAAAAATGAAACTTAAAAAAAAAAACACAATACCATGAGCAATGCTTTGATATGGTCCCAATTGAGGTCAATAGAGCAAGATTTTTCTTGTTTAAGCTTGATCAATACATCAAGAATATCATCATCATCTTCATCATCATCGCCCGTCTTTTTCGCCCTCGCGGGATCAAGATGGTCGTCAATAAGCTCTTGATAGAACAAATCCAACTTCTCGAAAGTCGTCTCAAGCCGACTACTCAACCCCGTGATTTTATCAATCCAACCAAACGAAGGATAGAAATCGGACACAAAGAAGGTCGCCATAAGGGCTTGAGCCTCATGCAGAAGCCCTTTGAACCGACGCATCTCCGACCCGCTCTCGTCGTATCTCTTCCCGAAAGCAATTCGACATATCAAATTACTCCCAAGTGCCATTGTTATCTCACTCAAGTTGACAACTTTCCCATCACCATGATCACTAATCCGCGAAACCACACGTGCGATTTCGTCTTCCCGAAGTGGCCGAAAAGATTGCGTTTTCTTAATGCTCAAGAGATGAGTGGCCGTGATTTTGCGTAAATCCCTCCAATATTCGCCGTAGGGCGAAAAGACGATATCCACGCAGTTGTAGGAGAGTTTTTGCTGCCCTAGAGAGTTGGGCCTACTGCATGTTAATGTATATTCTTAGGAAATAAGTTAGGGATTTGATTTGATATACTTTACATAAGTTAGAGATTTGATTTGATATGCTTTACATAAGTTAGGAGATTTGATTTCATTGTAATTAGTAATTTCCTTGTATAGCTTTCTCTCTAAGTGTATAAATAGTGCCTCCTATGGAGAAGAATATACATCAAATTTTTCTCAATTCAACTAACATGGTACCAAGAGCCAATCTCTGATCATCTAGCAATTTTTTTTGGTTTCATTGTGGTGTTCTCGTCTTTTTTTTTCTTTTCTCGCTTCCGCCGAAACACCATAAAACCACTGCTGTGCGTGCGTCATCGCTCCGATCCAGATTCTGATCATACCACCAAGATCGCCGTTAAACGATCTACACATCGGTGAAAACCAGACTGCCATCGGAGACCGCACGCGCCCTCACGCGCCCCGAGAAGGTCCTGCGCGCAGTCTCACGCGCCACCGTACCGCCGCCGAAGAATTTCACGCATTCACGCGCCGACACGCGCCGCTCACTCGCCGTCACGCGCCGTCACGCGCCAGGTACCGCCGCTGCAGAATTCACGCGCCGACACGCGCCCACGCGCCGACACGCGCCCACGCGCCGACACGCGCCCACGCTCGCCCACGCGACCACGCGCTCACGCGCTCCACCCTTGGTTGGCTGCATCTTTGTGACGTCATCCGCACGTCATCACAGCCACATCACCACTGTTTTGCATTGCTGAGTCAGCCCGCCACATCAGCGCCAGCCCGCCACATCAGCGCCAGTCCGCCACGTCAGTCGTCTGTTGACTTTGACTTTTAGGTCATTTTTACCCGATTTTTCGCATAGATTTCAGTTTTTACGTCCGTTTTTAAAAAAAAAAAAAAAAAAAAAAAAAAAAAAAAAAAAATGGACAAAAGAGATAATTTTCTTCCTCGACCCATCAATAGTACTCTCGAGGGAACCAAGAATTACTTATCATGGTCTCAAGCTATGCGAAGTTTTCTTAAAGGTCGAATGCTTTGGCAATATTGTACTGGTGCAATCACTATTCCTGTTCAAGCAAAAGATGAAGCAGACTCTGCCTTTGTTGGTCGTACAATTGAGTGGGACAGCCACAACCACATGATTCTTACATGGCTCCGAAATACATCCATCCCTTCAATTTCCAACTTATTGGGCAGTTATGACGATGCCAAATCCGCATGGGACATGTTAGCGAAACGGTATTCGACTTCTCATGGCTCTATGAAATATCAGTTGGTTGTTGAATTGCACCAACTTCGCCAAGAACCAGGGCAATCCATCAATGATTATTACGATCAGTTCCGCTACATATGGGACCAAATTGATTTATCTGAACCAGCTTGGGCGTGCCCTAAAGATGCTCAACTTTGTGCTGCTGTCCGAGACGAATTTCGTCTTTATGAATTTTTAATGTCTCTTGACAAAGCATTTGAACCGATCCGAGGTCAGCTTCTCAACCGTAGTCCGCTTCCATCTCTTGATATAGCTGTTAATGAGTTGGTCCGAGAAGAAACACGTCTTGCAACTCTTCAAGTGCAGAATAAGCTCAATGTCCTCGCAGTTGCTCCCCCTATCAACACAGAGCAACCTTCTCATTCAGGGTTCGATAACCGGCGTAGACAGCCGACCAAAAAGTTTTGCAACTACTGCAAACGCCCGTGTTAGTTGAATTGAGAAAAATTTGATGTATATTCTTCTCCATAGGAGGCACTATTTATACACTTAGAGAGAAAGCTATACAAGGAAATTACTAATTACAATGAAATCAAATCTCCTAACTTATGTAAAGCATATCAAATCAAATCTCTAACTTATGTAAAGTATATCAAATCAAATCCCTAACTTATTTCCTAAGAATATACATTAACAGCCCCCCTCAAACTCAAGGAGGGTGAGAAACCAACTTGAGATTGTAGATCAAATCACGATGACGTCCCTTAGGATGAGGCTTTGTGAAGATATCTGCAAGCTGATCTTTGGAAGAGACCGAGAAGAGCTTGAGAACACCTTGAATAATGTGTGAACGGATAAAATGACAGTCTATCTCAATATGTTTAGTCCGTTCATGAAAGACATCATTGTGACTAATATGGATAGCACTTTGATTGTCACAATGAAGAGGAATGGGAGAGGATGTTGATACTCCTAAGTCCTTGATAAGCCATCGAAGCCAAAGTAGCTCAGATGTGGTATCCGCAAGAGCACGGTATTCTGCTTCAGTGCTGGATCGGGCAACAAATGTTTGTTTCTTACTTCTCCAAGATATTAGAGATGTGCCAAGAAGAAAACAATAACCAGTAGTTGACCTGCGATCAGTGGGATCTCCAGCCCAATCACTGTCGGAGAATGCTCGAAGAACTAGAGGCGACTCAGCAGAATAGAAAAGGCCATGAAAAAGAGTACCCTTTAGATAACGAAGGATGCGTAGAACGGCAGCATAGTGTAGCGATCTTGGAGCTGATAGATATTGACTCACTTGATGAACCGCATATGAGATATCAGGACGAGTGACAGTAAGATAGACTAGACTGCCCACCAAACGCCTATAAAGTGACGGATTTGACAACAGTGTCCCCCCTGAGGGAGTCAAGTGAGTATTTAGTTCAACTGGAGTGTCAATGATCTTGCTATCAGTGAGTCCGGCTTGAGATAAGAGATCAGATGCATATTTGGCCTGAGTAATGTAAAGACCATCTTTGGAGTGAGTAATCTCAAGCCCCAAGAAGTAGCTGAGGTGACCGAGATCTTTCATTTCAAACTGTTGACTCAGAAAATCCTTCAATTCTTGAATTCCACTAGGATCGTCACCAGTTATGATCATATCATCCACATATAAGAGGAGGATGATGGAGCCTTTGTCAATGCGACGAACAAATAGGGCAGAATCATAACAACTGGCAGAGTAACCCAAATGAGATATAGTGGAGCTGAATTTGGCAAACCAAGCTCGAGGGGCTTGTTTAAGACCGTAAAGAGCACGACGAAGATGACAGACCTTGTCTGAATCAACAGATAGTCCTGGCGGAGGTTGCATATAGACGTCTTCAGCTAGTTCTCCATTTAAGAATGCATTTTTAACATCCATCTGAAATAGATCCCACTGACTAGCAGCGGCAACGGCCAAGAGAGCGCGAACTGAGGAGATTCGAGCAACTGGAGCAAAAGTCTCCTCATAATCGATTCCATACTCTTGAGTAAAACCCTTTGCAACAAGACGAGCCTTATATCGCTCAATGGATCCATCAGAGCGAGTCTTGATCTTGTAGATCCACTTACACCCAACAACAGACTGTCCCGGAGGGAGAGTAACAAGATCCCAAGTATGGTTTTTAGATAATGCATCAAGTTCCTCTCTCATGGCATTCTGCCATAAAGGGTCGGTGGAAGCCTCATGATAGGAGTTAGGTTCGTGCAAAGTGGCAAGAGTAGTGTAACAATGATAATCAAGTAGATGAGAAGGAATAGATCTTACCCTATTTGAATGGCGAGGCGGTAGATGGTCTGTAGGATCCTCAAGCGGAGCAGGAGCAAGGGACTCATGTTTTGAACTGGGCAGTTCGTGTGCGACCTGTTCATTTTCCACCTGTTCATTTAGGGTTGGGCTGGAGCGAGGAGTAGAAGTATTTTCAAACAAGTCGATAGGAGAAGGAGACTCGTCCAAAGATATATCTAACTCGGGTGAGGCACTTAAAGAAGGACGAAAATGTGAGAGTTCAACAAAAAGACGATGTTCCCAAAAGACAACATGACGAGAGACACGAAGACGATGAGAGATAGGATCATAACACCGATAGCCCTTTTGAGTTTCTCCATAACCAAGAAAACAACAAAGGCGAGATCGAGGCTCGAGTTTGTTGTGTTCGTGTGGTTGAAGAAGAACAAAACAAGCAGTACCAAAAGAGCGGAGGTGATGATAGTCTGGAGATTTCATAAAGAGTCGCTCGTATGGAGTTTCATTTTGGATAACAGGACTTGGTAAACGATTGATAGCATAAATTGCATTCAAGGCAGCTTCACCCCAAAATGGAGAGGGAATTTTTGCAGAGAGAAGGAGAGCACGAACAGTGTCAAGAATATGACGAAGTTTTCGCTCGGCTCGACCATTTTGCTGAGAGGTCCCTGGACAACTAAGGTGATGAATAGTGCCATAGGAACGAAGGATATTTTGAAAGGCATTTTGAGTATATTCAAGAGCATTATCAGATCGAAAAGTTTTGATGCGCTGTGAAAATTGAGTTTCAACCATTTTTGCAAAATTATCATATATTGACAATAGTTCTGAGCGAGATTTCATAAGAAAAATCCAACTATAACGAGAATAATCATCAATAAAGACAACAAAATATCTAGAACCACCAATACTAGTAACGGGGGAGGGACCCCAAACATCAGAATGAACTAAGTCAAAAATTTTATTGGAAACTGATGAACTAGTATTAAATGGTAAGGCTGGTTGTTTACCCAACTGACACGAGGTGCAATCAAAATGTTCTTTAGACACAGAACCTAACACACCTTTAGAAGCTAATTGCTGAATACGAGATGTAGGAGCATGACCAAGGCGAGAGTGCCATAAAACAAGGGAAGGTGAAGAAGATGTAGGTGTAACAGCAGCAGCAACAGAGATAGGAGCAACAGGTGGAAGACGAAGATTATCCACGGGAAACATACGCCCAATTCTAGGCCCGGTCCCAAGCTCCTGTCCCGTCCTCGGATCCTGAACAATACATCCAGAGTAGTCAAAAGTAAGACGGTAGCCTAGTTCAGCTAATTGTCCCACAGAAAATAGATTATAAGATAGGTCGGGAATGTGAAAAACGTCGGGAACTAGAATATTTGAAGTTGAAACCGGCCCTAAGTTTTTACCATGTAAAGTGGAACCATTTGCTATATGAATGTTTAAAGGGTGTTGAGCAGGTTCAAGTTTAGAAAACAAGGAGGAGTGAGGGGTCATATGGTTGCAACATGCTGAATCGAAAAGCCAAGTTTGAGACTTACCAGGCAGGACTGAGAGAGCAGTGGAAAGAGATGCATTACCAGCCATACGAATAGCCTGAGTTATTATATCTTGTAGTTCAGGTGATGTAAGATGTATAGTGGATCCAGAAGACTGGGACACGGCTGAGGTGGAAGTCATTGGCGGGCTGACTCAGCAATGCAAAACAGTGGTGATGTGGCTGTGATGACGTGCGGATGACGTCACAAAGATGCAGCCAACCAAGGGTACTGCAAAACGACAAGTCTTGTGTTTTCAAGACTTGTTTCGCCAACCTTGCCGATGAGATTACAATTGCCGATGCAGGACCTAGTTTAAGGTGCAATAAATCGCCGTATTTTTTCGAAAGCTTCCATAAGTAGACATGTGGATTACTGGCGGCACCGAATTGGTGGAGATTGCCGATGAACGGGAGGCCCGGAGGACCCGGAGGCACAAGCTGCGCCCCCCGACCTTGTTTCGTTACAGTATTCTTTCTTTGTTTCTGAATAAGGTAGATCAAGATTATTGGAAGAGTTATTAGTAGTACAAGAATCATCATTTAATTGTGTTGTTATTTCTTGTTTAAAATCTGTAATGTATATCATATATGGCTGGTTTTGCACATATATTAATCATGGTAAGAGCGTATGCAAGTTGAGAAAAAGTTAACAGCTTTTAATGTTAAATTATGTGCAATCACTCTTCGATATTCAGATTATTAGAGCATCTTTCAAGTATCTTTTACACATAATAACACACACCCATGTGTATATGTGCTTACTGGTTAGTTATTTAAATAAATTTACAATTCAAATTCACCCGGTCTAATAAACCAGGTGCAACATCTAACATCCCATATTTTATGGGTTTCCCAACGTGATCTCAGAATTATATTAATTCCATCTTGCACCCATCAAATATAGATAAATTACGGCCTCCCTTGAGGTTATGTCAAATTACGAAAAACCCTTTTATGTTTGGGTAATTACAACCAACCCTCAACTATGAATTTTTTTATACATCCATCATTTTAACAATTTAACACTTTTGGTCATTTTCATTAATTTTTTATTAATACTAGCTAAATCAATCTTCCATATTCAGATTATTAGAGCATCTTTGAATGGGGTCGAATTCATATACTATTAAAACAAATCGTCAGTCTTTTTTTATTATTTTAGCACACATAGTCTCCAATATCTATTAAATTAATCAAAGGGTAAATAGCACTTAACCCCCTCGTGGTTTGAACATTTTGCACATGACCCCCTCATGGTATGAATTTAGGCACATAACCCCCTTGTAGTTTTGACATATTGCACATAGTCCCCTTATGGTATGAAATTAGACACATAACCCCCATGTGGTTTTGAAATTTTGCACATAACCCCCTTATGGTATAAAATTAGCACATAACCCCCTTGAATAAAAAAATGGAAAAGACTAAATTACCCCTATCAAGTCAAAAGTTCTTGTTTTTATTTAAAAATAATTATTCTATAAAATGAAAAGCTTGATGTATTTTTTTGTAAAATGAGAAATATAACATATTATTGTGTTTTTTTCTATTTTACCGCACATATATTTTTTTTTAAATTTAATTTTCATTTCAACTTGAGAGAAATGCTTTTTTTGGATTTTTCAAAAAGAATAAAATAAATAAATATTTTGTTTCTTAAAAAAATTAAATTTCGGTGACAACAATATAATAAATTATATAGAAAATAGTAATATAATAATCATAATTAATTACAATGTTAAAGATTTTCAAATTGATTTTTAAAATTAAATAAATTCTCAATCGTACAACAATTAGTATTATAAACCTTTTGTGGTAAAATTAAAAAAACACAATAATATATTATATTTTTCATTTCACAAACAAATATATTAAGCTTTTCATTTTATAGAATAATTATTTTTAAATTAAAACAAGAATTTTGGACTTATAAGGATAATTTAGTATTTTCCACTTTTCTATTCAAGGGGGTTATGTGCTAATTTCAAACCATAAGGGGGTCATGTGCAAAATTTTAAAACCACAAGGGGGTTATGTGCCTAATTTTATAACATAAGGGGGTCATGTGCAAAATATCAAAACCACAAGGGGGTTATGTGCCTAAATTCATACCATAAGAGGGTCATGTGCAAAATGTCCAAACCACAAGGGGTTAGGTGCTATTTACCCTTAATCAAATAATCCTATTCCAAACAGTAAAGACATCTGACAAACACGGGTTGATGAGTAGATACCAACTGATCAATTATACTTTTTTTTTTCATTTAAAATTACGAATTGATTTTATAACAATTTAATTGATCCTGTCCACTTCGTAATTTGATCCGATCGGCAATTATTTTACTGTGTAAATTACAGTCATATTCTGAATTGAGGTCAAATTATGAAAAATATTTCTTTTTCTTTTTTTCTTTTTTGTTTATTTATTATTATTATTATTATTATTATTATTATTATTATTATTATTATTATTATTATTATTATTATTATTATTATTATTATTTTCTGCCATATTCTTAATAGGAGGTTGGCTACACTTACAACCGAGCGGTTTGTGGTTCAAAAATGCCGAATCTCGTCTAAATTATCATTTGTCAGGACTCTTGGGCAAGACATTTAGTACATTTTGCTATTCCTGGAATCCAAAGGAGAGTATGTTCGGTGGAATAATTTCTTAGATGTATTACCGCATCCCCAAGGCTTAGCTCCACTTTTTATATGGAAATTCTATGTCACACCCGATTATTAATCACACACACTCAGTGTGCTTAATAGGTAGTTATTTAACATCATCTGCTGTTATTTCCTAACTCGGGGTAGCATACTTCCCTAACTCTATACATAAAGGCTTAAGTTATTTCCTTTTTTTATTCGGCCCTATCAAAATATAAGAACATAAAATGGGCATTCTCCTGCTCTTGGTCTGGTCATGCTGATGTAAACTCAATTCCTATCACAATCGCACAACAAAACTTGTGGAGTTGGAACGTTCATAAATTGTACGAGATCTTGCATGTGACGACCCCTTTTCAAGGGCTCTAGGAATTCAAGCAATCTCTTAATAGGAGGTTACGTTGTGTTGCACAAGGCGTAGGAAAATTTAAATAGTTTACCAAAATAGTCGAAATTAATTTTTTTCTACAAACATGTCAAAAGTTTTATTAAGCTATTTGCATGAATTGATTGTGGTTATACATCAGAGAATCAAGAAGAAGAAGAAGAAGAAGAAGAAGAAGAAGAAGAAGAAGAAGAAGAAGAAGAAGAAGAAGAAGAAGAATCTTCCTCTTCGTCTTCTTCTTGTTCCTCTTCGTCCTCCTCTTCGTCCTCTCATCCTCTTCTAATGGATTAGGTGTTAATCTAGCAATTAGAACCACAATTTAAGATGTATTAATGTTAATACATTAACTTCTCTATAATTGGTTAAAGTTGATTTTTCAAAATCCCAACTTCTAGAAATAAATAATTATCTCATATTTAACTCGCATTCACTAACTTAATTTAATTCAACTGCAACCTAAACATTTAAAATTTTAACATCCACACCCTCAAATAGTAAATTCAATTTTTTTGCATCCACCTTCTTAGACACAATTTTGCAACTCCACCTCTCCATCTATCTGTCTGATTACCTTTTTGGGGAAAATATATATTTTTCTGCTTATTAGTAAGAAAATTTAGTTTTTCCTGGCATTATTTAGGTGTGAAAAATAGAACGGTCAAATAACAAATCAAAGTATAGTAAAATCAAAGTTAATGTGTTAAATGGCTATGAAGTAGTAAAATATAGATACGATAGAACCATGATAAATTAATAACTTCGCTTAAATAATAGTTTCTTCTGGTCCCGATTCGATGTAAAAATACTAAATTATTAGTTAGATAATTTAATATTTCGTTAAATTAATAGGATTTTGCTAATTCCGACTGTATTAATTTATGGAGGTTTGACTGTAAGATCATTTTTAATAATAAATTCAATCTCTAATACTTAGAGTGCACGTAGGATATTTTGAGATTTTGTTCGAGAATAATCTCCAATGCAAATCCCAAAGAAAAATCTCCAAATGACGTGACACTTGTGATTTTAGAGATATTTAAGATGACACTCTAAAATTGAAGTGTCGTCTTGAGGATCTCTAAAGTGTCAACTCATCATTTGTTACAATTTTTCTTTTATTTTCTAAGAAAATATTTTGAGTCTTGAGTGTTGTATCGGAGAAGATTTTGCAGCAACCAACAGAGAATCTAAATCCGTCCAAATAGGATAGAGAAAATTTTAAAATTCATATTTGGTACTTGACATTTAGGATTTTCAGAGTTTATTTTAAGTTTCTTATCTTTAATGATAAACTCAATCTCTAACACTTAGAGTGCACATATGAAATTTTGAGATTTTTGTTCGAGAATCATCTCCAATGCAAATCTAGAAAAAAAAAAACAAAAAAAAAAAAAATCTCCAAATGACGTCGTGGCACTTGGAATTTTAGAGATACTTAAGATGACACTCTAATATTGAAGTGTCGTCTTGAGGATCTCTAAAGTGCCAACTCATCATTTATCACAATTTTTCTAAGAAAATATTTTGAGTCTTGAGTGTTGTATCGAAGAAGATTTTGCAGCAGCCAGCAGAAAATCTAAATCCTATCAAATAAGATAGAGAAAATTTTAAAATTTTAAAATCCTGCCAAATGATTCTCCATTATAATTAATATTTAGGGATCTTAAGATATAAGTCCCTGGTGACAAACCTTATCAGAATTAAATGACAAGCCTAATTAAAATTTGCTTCACATCTTTTATCAAAATTCATTCAAAAAATGCCCCTCTACTCACAAATTCGAAATTACATCAGATTGTAAATATTCTATGATGTACTATGGTGCACTAGTATGGTATTATTTAACATTTTTAATTTGCATTTAGCATTTTTGTTATTTTATTTTTTACGCGGAATACGTTTCTCTTTTTGTTTTTTTCATTACTATAAGAATTTTTTTTCTTTTTTTCTACATAATATCGAAAATTATGATTTTTTTAATTTTTTTTCCTGGTCGTAACTGCAGACACCCGTAGTTTCGTTTTTGTCAAATAATACATCAAGTTTTAAAAATTACTATGGTATGCTATGGTAAGCTATGGTATACGGTATACTGTGTTGTACTATTCCGAATTCTATCGTTCACCAACTCCCACCGTCGCCGTACCCTAACTTCCAACATCTTCCAACTACCGTTAAATCATAGCAACCGACAAATTTTAGCCGCCGCCAATCCCTACCTGCGAAAACCTATTCGTCCACCAACCCTATCCATCGACCAAATTAAACCCTAGCCGCCATAGCCGTCGACCAAAATAAACTCTACCCGACCTTCAAAAACCTAGTCGTCCACCAACCCTAGCCGCCATAGCCGTCGACCAAATTAAACCCTAGCCGTCGAGCAAATTAAAACCTAGCCACCATCCACCGTAGATCTGACTAAATTACACCTTAGCGATCGACCAAATTAAACCCTAGCCACCATAGTCGTGGAGCAAATTAA